TGTATAGGCGCGCACGTATTATTCGGTTCGGCGGCAGACATCGTGTAGGCTCGCATGGGTCATCTTCGTGATTGGCAGTAACGCGTTAATTAATCGCTTCTGTGGCTCCATTTTAACTTGTTCTGATTCTAACTTCAGTTAGCTAACTAAAGTTCACTATGCAATTTGGCTGGAAAACTGAGTGGCCTGGAACGTTCTATTTCGTATAGAAACATATATGACAATTCCGTTCCCATTTGACGCGCTATCTTTGCCGGGTCTAATTATCTATGGAATTTTTCTAGCAAGCGAAGCCGCTTCGCTCTGAAAACTTAACTCTATTGCAGGTGCGAAGCGTTTCGAAGTTAACAAAGAGAACACAACTTTACTTTTGCATGCGAATAAAATAGGGCATTCCATATACCACATTAGCTATTAATTGTGTCTACAAATTTAAATACAGTGATGACAACTTACCTGCACCTTATATATACATATGGTTACAATCCAGGCTTCGCCCAACGAACTGCAATCGCTGGCAAACTATATTTGCGATATTCGTGAGCTGCGTTCAAGTCTACGTTTGATTAGAGGGCTACAATTACGACTCTTCCCCTTTATGAATCTTTAATTGTTAAGGGATTTTCTTGTGCCTTTGCAGAGTGACGCTACCGCGTTTTTCGGGCTTCCTTGACGATCACGTCCAGGTATGTGGTAATTCCTAGCACGCAGTTGGCCACTGAATCGGATACTGGCTCGGATTTACATACCCACCGTACCACCTGATCATTTTCTATGTTCTGGGTTATTTGGTTTACAACTTACGACCCTGTCTAACCACGAACAGGTCGTAACTATATGATGAAGCATCCAGTTACTCAGTGAATTACGCGGGTCCACTGCCTTCAAAAGAGAAGGTTTAGCGATTCGAAAATGCGAATTTGTTTGTTGTAAAGAAGCCCAAGTAAAGTGTAGGGGTGATAACGCTGTGTAGATTTGGCTTAGGGGTTAACGGAATGTTTGTATCCTCGTAAACACATCCTCACAGCCATCAGATGGATGTCCTACAAAGCCCAATAAAAAATCTTGACCCGTTCTATTACATTACATTTTTATTACACATATATATATATATATATATATATATATACAACGGGACATCGATTCGAGTCCCGTTGGACATCAGGGCCACAGTATTTTATCACCTGGATAAAAATGCCCCCGGTTGCAATTTACTTTAGAAGTGAAAATTATGCTTAGTAATTACTGTGAAATAAATCTTATTTTACAGGAACGCATATTTAACGTCACGGAAAAGATACATTCAAATTCTTATGGTATTATTCGCACTTAAAAACGGGCATAGTTTCAACTTGGAATGTTAGACCGCCTTCAAAACAAAGAAAAACCTTCTACGATTTAGCAACATGCATATTCCGAGGAAGTGACGCAGATGTTCCCAGGGATATCCTAGTCCCAACCCTCTGGAATTTGAAACATCATAGCCTTTTTAAACGAATTAGTGACAGGGTTTAATCCAGCCGCCAGAAAAGATAATTGTCAAGGATTGCAAGGATAATTGTCAACACGAAAATATATATTCTGTTGAAAGATAACAGTTCGTATCTCGATAATGTCGTGTGTACTCTCGGAGCTTATGGATTTCGAATATTGTGCTACGCAGTTATAGTGGTGCCATAGGTTATCGAAAAACACAGAATTCTCAGATATCTCTGGCACTTATCACCTGTAAGAATAATCAGGCAGACTTCAGGGTTTCTCAAGACCCAACTATTCCAGCGGAACTATTTCTTTTTGGCTAAGCACTATGAGATACGGACCACACTAGCAAAAGCTTACAGAAAATTTGTACTTAGATCTACTTATTTTTGCTTATACGAAATGCGTTTGAACGACTTATCATGTCCTTCGATTATCGGATTATTGAAAAATTATGCTATACAATGATTTATTAGACATAGGAAATACACTTTATGATACAGGTAATATTCTTTTACAGGATCGTTGCTATACTAGCCAACAGGATAACAATAGTTAAGTGCTTTTAAGATTGGATAGCTTTTATTACGTACGCCGAGACTGGTGGTATTATTTGTCTGATTCATAGATGTTCGGTATTCTGCGATCTTTACAAATTTCCTAATTGTTGTAAGGGTCGAGAAGAAATCAGTCATCATAGCCTGCAACCTTGAGAACGAAAAAAAAAAAAAAAAAAACCTATCTTAAAACTAGTTTCATCCATAACTAACGAGCTACAGAGTAAAATTAACATTGGCGGCTCCTATACGTAACCACCGGTGTATCACACGTGTATGGTAACTTGTCATAAATGTTCCCATCCGGGCACCATTCCCGTACCTGCAGCATTTTTCTTTTGTTTCAGCTCACTGTATTATCGTTTTTCGATAATCTCGTAGACGAAGTGTGAGGCTGGTACACTGTCGATGGAAATCGTAGCCCACATTGTTTTGCTTAGATGCGGAAAAATGATGAATCTTTGGACGAGGCACTGACAGACGTGTACAGCGAAATCCCAAAATTTCAAAACGCTATTATCCTAAAAAACACCGTTTTCAATCGTTTAACCCTGGAAGCTTATTTGATATCTGCACGTTGTTCAGTCGAGCTTTTTCGGTCGGTTCACGATAGCTAAAGCGATACGACGTCCGTGGATCTATAAGCTTTGTCGATGCAGTGATTCAGCAGTACTTTGGCACCCGTTGACGTTACAGATTGCCTTGTTTGTAGCTAAACTACAATAATGATCCTATATATTCACTGCGTCGTGTCCCGTTCCCGATATTTGTTTCCTATTTTTCTTGATGATAAAACCATTTTGTTGTCCTTCTTCTGGGCTATGTTGTCAATTATTGTCCGACTAACTTAGCAAATTCTCGGTGCTGTCGCTTTTCCTGTGTGAGGCTGGCTATTAGAGTCCACTGTTCTTTGGCTAGGTGTTTTCGAAGTTCCACTACGAGTTCACGTGTAGTCGCTAAAGTCGCACGAAAATCATTGAACTTCAAATCATAATAACTTAATAATAACATTACAGTAGTCATCAAATAGATAGATAGATGTAAGTAACGGTAATTGCTATGCTACATATCGAATAATCTGTATCTCTCCAAAACGAAGAAGGACGCATAAGTTGTGCATAATAACTCAAATATTCATGCATGTTACGGTGAGCAATTATTGCACGATACGTCTCAGTGGGTCCTTTTTTTCTTAGGCCGGTTGAAAAATGCTCCATCAATGGTCGTGCCGTCACATGCGGTATCGTCAAAAAGCATAGGGACGCAAGCTTTACATTAACAAGATACAAGTATTTACTTCGCGTGCGAAGATACCTTTGATCCAACTCGTCAGTGTGTAAAGTTTCTGAGTGATCTTATCTGATTGGCTCGTGATCGCACCTTAATCGTGCGCTCGCTATAAGTAATGTTCACTACCATTATTTTCAATACTTTTTTCATCTGATAAGCCATTACAAGTATAGCTGTTTTTAATTAAAATAGTGATGATTTATTTCGATTTGAGCACGACCAACTCGACTGTCTGTGAGACTTACCTTGGCAGAGGCCATTCGAGGCTGTCTTTGTAACATTTGTTCAATGAGTATACGTTTAATGAGTATACGAAGACCCATATTATCGAATTTTCGCAATTAATATTTTGTTCTTAAATATCTAAAAGGTCGGTGGCAGAACCTCGGCGTACTTTCAAACAACACAAACAGAATTTGTGTGTTATATACAACAGTCTTAAACGCAATCAAAAAATACAGGATCTTAAACGCAATATGTTTCGAAATGTATGTTTACCGATGGCGAGGTTCTATCTTACAAGAACAACAACTCGTCGAATGAAAAGCGTCTCGAAATAAATTTTCACCCGCCTTTTCATCAATGAGTCCGTACATCCACATTTTTTAAAATTTTTTTTGTTAACAAAGCCCTTATCGTTATTTTCTACAGGCATTGTTTGCTGCTGCTGCTGCCAGTCTGGAGTAAAACGATAGCTTGAAAGTTTCGTCTTTTTTTTTTTCTTTTTGAAAATCAATACAGAAAGAATAAAGGATATTGGAAAAACGTGCTCCCTGCTCACCCACTAACGATCCTGCTTCTTGTGAGACTTTGAATAAGGCTACCCCAGTTCCACAAAGAAATTGAGACAACAGAGCTAGAACTTGTGCGGATATTTTGTGAAGCCTTTACGTGTAGCAGTGAAGACACTCCCGTTATAGATAGCCGCTCGATGCCTGCAGCCGCTACGAGGGGTGGCATCAATATACTTCAGACGTTTATTGGTGCTTTGTTCCCGGACTGCATCTATTCATAATCATATGAGCTAGGGTATGCCTGTTCCTAACAAATTCTTGTGAAGACGTAAACGCCACGACCTTGTTCGAGGAACGAAACCGCTTCGTATTGATTCGAAAAGGTGTGAACCTGCAGCAATAAGTATCCATGATAAACCGCGTAACAAATACGAAACGTTGGATACTGTAAAATTTGCAAAGAGCTACAGACGATAAGCTAACTTCTAAGCGCCTCAGTATCTACGACTGAACAGCTATTTCGTACGAACACTTGCTGTTACAATCTACAAACGAATTTACCTTTCTCATTTGTCGTTGTTAAAAACGTCGGGACGATTGCTTGTTTTATTTTCTTCCCTCACGCAGATATATAACGGCAGATGATAATGATTATAATCAAATTTAGCGCAGCCAGTGGTACACAATAACTGACCGAAGCGTATAAGTCTTTGTACAATGGGTGCTAGTATACCAACGTATTTACGTCTGGAATTGATAGTCTTTAGCTTGCGTATTTGTGTGAATTGTTACATTTGTTTATGTTGTATATGTTATTAACAAGGTTGACACGCATCAGCGGGAAGCGGTTTTTTTTTTTTATTTGAGTTCGCATTTCCGTTAGGCCAGTACAAAACAAAAAAGACGTTTTTTTAACTTATGCACTTTCTCTTCATTACAGGAAATATCTCTTTTTTCCGGGCTGTTAGCTACGTCTGCCGTCAACGTGCCAAAAGGGTCACGCCACGCCACGCCACGCCACGCCACCAAGTGGCAATCCGCCTAGCGAGCCTGCTGGTGCAACCGCGAGCAGCGCCAAATCACCATGGACACGACCATTCTTCCTTTGAATTGTAACGGGCCCGCTAACGGCACAGAAAAGCTGTGTCGAGAAATGGCAACGAGCATTCATAACTGCAGCGTTTCGACATGTGCAGTTACCGAGCCGCCGGATGAGACGCTGCAGAATGTTCGCTTCGTATTTCAGCAGCTGCTCGTGCCAATCGTGGCGCTGGTTGGCATCATGTTCAATTCGCTTACGATGATCATTATGACGCGACGGAGGATGCGGAGTTCGACAAACAACTACCTAGCCGCCCTCGCGACCGCCGACTGCCTCTACCTAATCTGCACGATCTACTTCAGCCTGAGGCATCGATTCGGTGAGACTGATCCCCGCTACAACTTCTATCGGCGGATGCGGCCACTGATGCAGCTGCTGGTCGATACAGCCCAGAATACATCGGTGTGGCTCACCGTTACGTTTACCATCGAGCGCTACATCGCCGTTTGCCATCCCATGCGAGGTAAAGTGCTCTGCACAGAATCCCGCTCGCGGAAAGTCATTCTGGCCGTGTTACTCTACACGATCGTGTTAACGCTTCCAACCTTCTTTGAGTTCAAGATCGTCGAAGAGCGGGATTCTCGAAACGAGACAATCGCACAGGTGATCCAATCGGAGATGGGAGCTAATGTCCTTTTCACGACAGTTTACTACTGGCTACTCGTTGTAATGAATACGGTCGTACCACTCGTTATCCTTATCGTGTTCAATACGTTTCTCGTTCGCTCTGTACATATATCACGTCGACAGCGTTCCACGATGACGCTACGGCAGCGACCTAACTCGGCTCGGGAGCCCAGCAGCCAAGAAAACAAAATCACCGTGATGTTGATCGCAGTCGTCATACTGTTTCTCGTCTGTCAGATGCCCTCCGCGGCTCTATTAATTTACACGACGTTTGACGATGCGCGTACGACATTCATTTTGGTGTTGGGTAACTTTTTTAATTTCCTCGTGTGCGTCAACGCGTCGGGAAACTTTGTGCTCTACTGTCTGCTGAGTAACAAATATCGGAAAACTTTTATCAATATGTTCTGTCCGTGCTTGCAAGCACGTTTTAATCCGTTACTGCACTCGATATATGGGCAGTATCAGAATAGCACAACTGATGAAAGTCCCGGGATCAATCGCAAACATAGCTGTGCGTCAGTGGGCGGTCGGGGCCCAAAGGGACCATTGGGGGATGGAGCTACAAGCCATATGCTATCAGTTCCTGCTACCGCTGGAGCAGGTAGACTGAGCGCTAACCCTGGAGCAGGTGAACATCAACCGTCGATCGACCCACTATCGCTTAACAATAATCTGTTGACTCGAAATGGTCGCATGACGCGAGCCTCATCGCTTCCGGAAAACCATTCGCTTTGGTCCAGATTTCGATTCGGGTCGCGGTTCCGAAACGAATTACCGGCTCATCAGGTGACAAAATCGCTAAAGGATGACCATAAATTCAACAACGGAACGACAGCCACAGCAGTGCCCTGTACGAGGGAGTGCGTCGTAATAGTGACATCAGATTACAACCTCAAAGACCAGCTGAACGACGTCAACCAAAAGGATAGCAGTCCTGATATCTAACAGTAATCAGTGTATTCTGACTTATCTGCATATATACGCGGGGCACGCGGGTCAGTTTATGTGTCGCTGTCTGTATTGGGCGCAATTTAATGGCTGTCGAAGCCAATTCTTAGCCATGATAACGACTACAGTACTGATAGCGGCAGTCGAAGCAGACGACCCAGCAAAATCATCGAACATGACCACACTTCTCTTCTGCTTGATCGCATTCTGTATTCTACATGCCGTGCCCTTTAAACCCAATTGTCGTAGATTTCAGACGACCCCACCTAAAGATCCGTTTCTTATAAAACAGGTCGTGTTTATGAGAAATATTGGATAATGTACGACGTTTGCTTATGCATCGATGGGTTTTACTGATGCAAGATGGGCACGCTAATACACAGCAGACGTATTATGATTACGGTGATCATGGGAGCGTGCGCATCTGATATACAGATAGAAAAGGAATGCGATGGGCCTGCAGAACGAAGGAATAGAAAACGGGGAAACTTCGCAATTTATACGTATGCGTGATTGGGGAAAATTTAAAGAGTGAAAATGTTAGTGACGACATAGCAGGTGAAAAAGGACCGGTTTTGTTTTAAAGCTAGAAGGCTGTGGTCTACAGTTTCTGATTTTTGCTAGTGGAAAGAATCATTAGAAACAAGTTCTGAGTACGGCCAATAGACGGACTAAACAGGTTTTAACATTGAGACGATGATATGCTCACAATGTAATTGACGTAGAAATCTGTGTGCAGCGTGTGCCGATGCCAATGTGTACATACGCTCCTAGACAATGCAGCAAAAAATGGAGAATACCATATTTTAATACATGTACATGCATGTAGTCAATATTGTCAACCGTTGTGGCCAACTAACCAATTACCAAGAAATCCGTACCATACAAGCACTAATCTAAGGGAATGGTACGTGCTTGTCCTTAACGTGCGGCGCTGTGATTCCGTGTCCGAAAGGAAAACATCAGATACAACGAACAGACTGATTAACAAATAACGCTAAGATAAACAATAATAAGATAAACAAATAATAATAACATATATGAACGATAAAGGTAATAGCACACGAAGCACAAAATGGAAACTAATACTTACTATCCGCAGCACGAAATCAAGATATGTTCGAAAATTTCGATCGAGCGAGACGAATGCAGACGATAATGAAAATAATGACAATAGCCATAAACAAAGGGTCCGTGGAAAACCTGCCCGCTCAAATATCGCACGAAGTTGTTAATATAGTTTTCTAAGCTTTCATCCCACGCTGCGGCTCCATCCAAATCATTAATATACATTAACACAAAATAGGAAACCGTAAATGTACACACACCTACACCTGTTTTAAGCGAGTCAGTTGTATGAAGGCTCACAAAATGCTCGCACATAAGCAAGTCAATACGACAAGAGGTGTCGCCAGTCGTCTTGCCACTTCCCGGACTCCTCGAGATGTAACCGGAAATTGATTATCCCAGCAGTCTTGCCAGCGATTGTTTACCATCCTGCTGTGATTCTGTTTACATAAGGCATATGCCTAGAGCCAGTAGGTCCCGGCACTGCCCGTCGGCTTCTGGGCGATTCGGATTGCTCGATAAGATAGAGAAACCCCGGAAGCTGTTGTAACCTCAATGCCGACCTTGCTGAGAACAACGGATTTCCGCTTAACAATGAGCTCCCTACTGATGAATCTCGGTTTTCGCACTTCTATAATCGTTGTCGGACGAGGCCAAACGACGTTAAAGCCAACATGACCAATTTCAGAGGAAATAGCTGCTGATGATGAATGCAATGCATTCTCTTACAAAACACAAAGGTGCTATTATATTATATTAACGAGCAGCTTTAGGCGGAACACCAACAAGATATTGGCAGAAGCACAGCTGGTTAACCGCGACAATTAACGAGGTAATTGGGTTGGAAGGCGGAAATTCAACTTTTTGAAAAAAATAAAATATATTTATTGAGCAATAGTAAATTAAGCACCTGTAAGTAAGCGGTGCTGTGGTCGACCTTTTATTAATTGCCATTTGGCCGAAACATATAACCGGAGAAACATGCTTTGCTAGCAGACAAGGAACGAAACAGATGATGAAAACTGGACAAAATCAACTTACTAAATTATATGATCGAGTATAGTAGTTGATAGTGGCGGCGACGATGCCGACAAAATTACAGATTTTGAGAGAAGTCTTAGTAGTCGAATTATGAAAAATCTTCTATGCGTATAGCAGAGAGCCTTGGACCAACAAACACTTCTTCGAGGAAATTTTTTTTGGGAAGATTTGCACCCGCATACATACACACAGAGAGTAAAGGGTTGTCGGCTCATTAGAGTTTGAATCAATGCACTGAAGATGTGTCACTCTTGCCTGAACTACCCATTTGAATATATTATAGTCACGATGTAATCACAATCGCGACAAACTTTCGACCCACGTAACGTTTGTCTATACATGTATCGCTTTTCAATGTTGCGCGGAAGCTCGGGTCTGTTGTTTGCCTTCATATACATCTTGTATCTTAATTACGCTTGCTATTAGATGAAATAGTTCGTATCTAAGACGGAATGCGCCAGCCAAAGTACTATTGGGTTCCTCATGAAGTTGCTGTATGTATTCGATCAATTTGTATACCTATTTTTCACTGTGGACAGTAAAAGTAATAATCGATAAAAACAAAAAGACCTGAAAAACTATTTCTTGCATATTTTACTATTAAATGTTATATACGTAACGGTTTCTATTGAAACTATTTCAAAGGCGAAATTTCCATCTATAACCAGCCACTATTAGACAGATAAGTTTTTTTCCTCTTAAAACAGCACACAGCTAGCCTTATTATTATTATTAAGGAAATGCTCTATTGATATATATACTAGGAGTTTACGGGACATGTATCAACGCGCCTGACTTCAGCAAAATGACTAATAACAACAAATAACGTAATTGTCATTACTAGTGAAGGAAGATATATACTAGAGTGAGAGAAGAAAAGGAACGAGTGACCCGCAATGATTCCCAAAATAACTCATGGAATACATTTAAATGTTAAAGAAGTAAATAAAGCAAAGTGGGTCGTATAGCAAAGAACTCTATATTTTAGTGAGCCCCGAACTGATCGAAATGAATTGTGTAGTCGTATCATCAGCCCATAGAACGTTATAATGATAATTAGCATCTTCACATAAGCACCAAAAAGGATAATACTATTCATTCATGCTGAGAAAGATCGTAACAGGAGAAAAACATCTACAATAACAAAATAGAAACAAAAATACATTAATTGAGGTGGAACCTTTGCCTATATAACCGATTTGTGTCTTTGTTGTGTCTAAAATGTCAACAAGGTAATTTACATCAGTAGTTAAGTTGTCGTCAAACATTCTTGGGCAGAAAAAAACTTTGCCCATGTCCAGTGGAGGGAGAAAATAACAGAATGCCAATGCGAAATTGAGATAAATTTACTAGATTTAACTTGAGACTAAGAAAACGTCCTCTTGTGTTCGAAAAAGCATCGCCTTAGTCTTGTACTACTATAGTTCTAGTTTAACTGCACGTGTATCTTATCACCCAAATGTAACCTATTAGCTTAGTTATTTGCCTCCGTATAAATAATTAAGGCCTGAGACGTTCCCGAGAATGGTACGGCTTCAACAAATTCGAAATTGCTTAGAACGCGTCAGCACCACTTGGCCTTGACAGGTGCAGGTAAACCTTCGCGTCTGAACTTCAAGATTTACTTGTCAAGCAACATTGTCTTTTGCGTGTCAAACATGCCTGAGGCTACAGCTTAGCGCTTCGTTATCTTCATTTTCCCACGGCATTCATCTTAGCACAACAGCTGGCCATTCTGCCCGCTCTCGCAAAAGCAGGTCTAAAGGAAACACGCTCTCAAATGCTGTTCGGACGATACCTGGTTAAAGAAATGCTTGATCATTTTGCAGTATGTCACCGTATCGTGCGCTTTTCATATTTCTCAGGACAAGTTGAAGACAAGCTGACATGTGTGCGCGAGTCCACACACGTCCTTCGTTGGCTATCGTTCTTCGGTAGGGACCAGGTGCCATCGGCGGACTTTGACAACCTCGTCGGATTAACTGAACTATTCAACACTGGTACGGCATGCCTTATCTACTACCACTTCGTTTCATTGGGCAGAGTAAGCAATAGCTGTGCTTAATATGTACAACGCATACCTACCTTACATTACAACATTAAGTTAAGAAAAGTAGGCTCAGGTGAACATCCTCTATAGGATAACCCGTGCAACGAAGGCGTGTAAATGAGCTTTTACTTTCATTAGCGTTATTCAATGTACACTTTTTCGGATACCACAAACCAGTTCAAATAATCTCCAGTTACACACAGACATTGATTTCGTCTAACGTGCAAGAGACCTGCGCTGCGCAAAAATGGTTCAGCCCTTCAGGGACCTTGACAGTAACCTTTAGCATAGTATGGTCATTCCTGATGCAGAGTTATAGCTATCCTTACTGCTATTATTATTATTATTATTGGAAGCAAAACAAAAGGCCGTTGTAAGGGCTGGGCTCACCGCTACTGGATTCTGGGTTTAATTCCTTATCGAAAATTTAACACAGTAAAAAGAGTACGGTAAAAGGCCTTGAGAAAAAGCTTAGGACAATAAAAACACTATAACAATTATAAGCTAAACGTCTCCTTTCAGCTATGGCAATTATCTATGCCTATTACTGTCAGAGCTTACAGGGAAACTTAAGATGCAAACTCTTTTGAACCCTGCGGTGTTGGCCGGCTAACACCATGGTAAATATCGACCGGAGTTGGCCGCTTGCTGTGACCCTGTAGTACTAGTCACGTACTTCTTAACTGCCTTATTCAGCTCGCAGCGGGACGATGCTTGTACGCCGAATGACGAAGCTGAATTTTTTTTTCGGGTTCCGTTGTGCCACGTTGCAGGGGAATATATTACTCAGTCTTACATAAGATTGCCCTGATTTCGCTGCTAGCGGGAACCTTCGTCAACATTCACTGGGAGTTTCTAGGAAGAACTGCCCTCCCTCTTTGCTTTTCGACAACGTATTGAATACTATCCACCTTCAAATGACCAAACGGAAAACAGTCACAGATCAATGAGATCAAAGCGTAACTCAAACTGTGTATCTGTGATTGCAGCCATTTATCAGACTTAATAATCCGAAAGTCTTCGAGGCACATGGCTGGCTGCGAGTAGCCGTTGCCTGCGTTTACCCGGAACCCAGTTATATCCATATCCTGCTGTGCTACTTGCAGGAACGAAAGGGAATATAGCCGTATAAGAGTGTGCACACAAGTGTTTGATGACGGGTGACTAGACAAAACGAAGTCTTAAGTGACGCTCATTACTATGAAAGCTATAGGACATAACCATCAATCAGGAAATAAGGCAGCATTGCCCTTACGCAAAAATTCTCGTCAAAAAGCGCATTTGCGTAACTAACGAGCGGCAATGCCTTAGAGCATTAATCGATGGTATGCCATAATGCTCAACAATACCTTACACCTTTCAAATACAATGAATAAATAATGGAATTTAGTATTACCTATATGCGCTGTAGTCGAGAAAATTCACGGAAGCTGACAAAAACTTTAAATGTGTGTGGTAAGGCACTTCACCCACTGAGAATCTGGCTCTCGCAATATGTTCTTTTATCAATTTCAGGCTGCGGCGCCTTAATTTTTGTCATTCGGTCCTTATTAGGCATTGCGAAATACTTTATTCATAATAACTCCATTTTCTCAAGACATTTTGCGGAGAACCGTTTCCCTGTACGTCCGAGAACTGTTCATAACATTATCTTGGTTATCTGTCTACGTGGGTTCTATTATGTATTATGCCCGTTGTACCATTGATTGACGTGTTGCACGTGAGGATTAGATATGGCAGTGTATCCGGATTTTGATCCGGACTTTCGATTTCGGAATCATGATGACAAGGCGGTACAACATCGTTGAGGAGGTGACTGCAGTTTCTCCAATCGTTTCACTTCAAGTTTTTCGTTCGTGTCATACGCGGCTGAAAAGCTTCTTGCCCCACATGGCATCGTGTCATGAAGTATCGCACAATTATATTTCAAATTCGGACTACAAATGTGTGTATTTCAGATGGCAGAACATTCGACAAAACATTATATCTAATCGTGGTAAAAAACAAACTAGTTCCAACGAGTCAAATCGACTGTCCGAGTTTGATGGGGATCCATTTTACGTAAGGTAATTGCATTTTTTTTTTGCTTGAAAAACAACAACAGTTGGAATCTACAGGGCGGAAGGTTTGTCGAGGTCCACCCCTAAGTGAGAACCGCGTACCAGAACTAAGTATGCGGATGGGTATTAGACATGTAGAACGTTGGTAGACGTTGTATGAGAAGTTCTTGGAACTGAACACATCCCTAGTTTAGTGTAGATACGCTTAGTAATATTGCACAGCACCATCATGCCCTCCGTTACCTACTTGTATGAGAGTTGTTCTAGAACTAAATGTTATGCGAGAGTTGCCCGCCAGCACATATGTAGCATTGTGGAATTCACTTCAAAACGTCGAGGCTACAAAGTTTTCCCGCAATATTCTTCTCGAATGACCAGCTTTAATCTGCAATCCTAGGATAACTTTTGAAAAAAAAAGCTTTGAATTTACGCGGCAGATGGGACAAATGCTGTTCATGATCTCTGCTCACACTGCCAGGTCCATACCTAACTAAACTAAATTTGACGGTAGTTTTTTTACTATAATTTAAGTAGATTCATAGTGAACATGTAATTTGTATTCTTCCAGACCGTTCAAGCGCTTTCGTTTGTTCTGTCTGATATGCTGCTAATAAACATAAGCCAATTGGATCAGTATAGCGTATAATTTTTCCTGGCCTGATCAATCGAACGATCTCGTTCTCTCTACAATATGATAGCCAGCAACACTGCAATGATTTAATTGCGAGTTTTAAAATTATTGTTTGACAATCAGATGAAATCGCACCTCTTAATATTTACTTTGCTTACTTCTTATCCTTCTTCACGCAGATAATTAATATTTAATCAAATATTCGGATATGGTTCATATAGATAAATTGCAAATAGCGAATCCAATCTATACGAGAGCTTCTAAATCCAGTCTTTCACTTAGTACTTTGACCTTTTGAGACTTTGAAACTGACTTAAAATTCGAAACACAGGGATCTTCTAAACGTGATGATCTGTGAGAGGCGGTCAATTTAGGGTCTACTTAGTAAGGGAAGACAGTAGCTTCAAAATGTAGCTGCTGCAAGAGTGCAATGGTCTTATTTATTAATCCAACAATATGGCTGTCTTTTAATTCAGCATAGTTCATTAACAACCGTCAGGATAGCAACAGAATGAAAAATACCGCTCTCCGCTAACCACAAGCCGTACTTAGATTACCTAATATTTTCTGGTTCACAGCTAGTTGATGGAGCAGGAGCTTAAAAACAGAAAGTATCATGAAAAATTCTATCGCAGAAAACCTCCTAGTGATGCCGAAAGGCTCAACAATGGCCAATGTTATAACTGCGTGCGAAAAGCATCTCAAATGTATTTATCTATTAAAATGCATTATTTTTGTCATTCATATTTTATCCAAGTTACACGGATGTATGTTTGACCTCTACTTTAATTAGATAAACTTATTTTTACTGTTATATAGATATTTCCGCAGCAGCTATATTTTATTATTACATAGGTGCAAGTTGCCTTCAGCTATTCAAATATGTACAACTTATTTAGTTTAGTAGTTATTTGTTCCACAAATCGTGCTCTTCAGTGAACACAATAGGAAAACCGTAGTCCTGTAAACATGTAAGTATCGTATATGTTTCAACTGCCAGACTCCTAGTGAATTATTGTATGATTTATTGATAGTAAGGCCAGAGTTAATACATGACGCTGGCATAGTGTATTGATAGATGCCAACAGTTTGTTCTGTTGTTACTGACCTTATCTAGGCGTTTCCACGGCGTGTGCACCTCGATTCAAATTGTAGAAACACTTGGCAAATATCCTCAATTCATCGTCAAGATGGCATTTCCCGAAGCGATTTTCCTTTTATATATGTTTTAGCATTATACGGTTTCGTCCCGTCGCCGCAAAGAATCGTCGCATCCATCTTTCTTTTTTGGTTAACCTATTGTTGTTCATTGTGTTCGTGGTCGATCCCATCTTCGCGTGTTGTGTCGTGGTAGCCACGCCTCTACCCAACTTACACATTCTCACGCCATCACGGCTGCTGATGCCTTTTATAGTGGCGACTGACACAGGTGCATGG